GGCTCTTTCCAAACTCAAGAGACAAGTCAGAGTGATTTACTCAGATCAAGTGCTGTTTTAGTAACTAGTCAGAGATCTATGTCATATCTTTGATTTGGTTGTTACTTGCATGCAAAATTTCAGGATTAAGCAACTGCCAGTCCAACACCTTACACAGATTACATCAGAGCCATAACATCAGTAAACGTTTGCATTTGTTGACTCTCAAAACTCAGACCACTTGAGACTCAGTTAATTAGATAGTGTTTCAGGGATGTAGCCTAGGGCTGGCTGCCAGCTAATTACACCAGTTGAAAGAGAAGTTAAATCCAGTTGAAATATCACATGAAAAGAAAGCCTTGGTTTACTATGGAGTTGTAAATCCAGGGAATTTATGAGCCGGCTTAGTGTTTTCTTTGCTACATCCCAGGTAGTTATTTTACCTTAAGTCATTAATTAAAATTATTCAAGCTGGCCAGCAATTCAGTAACAGTCAGAAAAAAAGACAAAAACAAAGTCTTTTTTTTCTTTTGTAATTGTTTTTTAACAATTTGTGATTGCATATTTTTCGTCTATCTTCTAGAACACAACAACCCACTGCTATATATTTCAGATTGTGGCAAAAAAGTGTTGCTATTGTCAGGGTTTCGTCAGGTGTTTCTTTGGGAAACACAAGAAAGCAATGAAGCCTTAAACACCACCAGTGGTATGTGCTGCATATATTGTAAGAAAAAGTTATGTAAAAAGTGAATTTTTTTATATTATGTATCATTTTCATCAAAAACTAACTTCAAGAAACATTGTGTCATACTGTCTAATTATTTAAAAATTCTAATTGGTCCATTTTTTCAGTAGGTTTCTTTATATTTCTTTGCATGTGACCAGCAGTTGGTGATTCCTTGAAGGGCACTTGGCATCAGATTCAGTGTGGAAATTACGTTTTACCAGATGAAAGAAACAAAGAGACAGCAATTGATGGAGTGTTCTTTACTGACACAGTAAGCCTCAAATAATGCACATTTTATTCTTAGAGCAACCATTTCCCTGAGATTGAAGAAAATAACACTAAAATTATAACATTATAATTGTAATGTTTTAATTAGTTATTAAACTTACTAATGAGGGGACCTGAAGTCTAGTAACCTGCCAACACCATGTCCCCTCCCCCAGGGGTTTCATTAACATTTTTAGCAGGAGGGCAAAACTTTTTGAAATGAACTTTTTTGTAAGAAAAACTTTCTTCTAGCTGGTCAAACCAGACGGGCAAAATCATCCTCACAGCTGGTCAATTTGCCTGTTGCCTGGCCCTTAATGAAACCCCTTCCAACCCTTCCACCCCTTTCCATGAAATTGGAGCATGCAGTATTTTTGTTGAATGTTCAGGGGGCAAGGGAAGGGGGGTTTGAAATGCAACAATTCCAAAGTATCCAAAGTACAATCATTACAATGTAAGTAAGTAAGTAAGTTTAAGTAATTACTATGTAAGATCCTTTATTTAAACACAATAACAGTAAGAGCATCACATGCTTGACAGGTCATGTGTAACTGGCAGAAGCATAGTCTGATATTTAAATGACCACAAAATTATAATTAAAAATGATGAAGAATTGTTGGGTGATAGTTTGATATGTTACAGTTTCACTACAATGTTCTTGCACACAGTGTTGCCCAGTTTAAACGTTACAGTGATTGCAAACACTCAGGAATTGGAGAAATGATGGCAGAGGCATAGTCTGATCTTTCAATAACCACAAAATTATACTGTCTGAAGAAGTTAATCAGTTCTAACTGCTCACTTTGGATTTTTTTTAAGGTTTGTGGTACTTCTTGTTCTCTCTCCTGGGTTTTCAACAAAGTTGACAGAATTCATGTCACGACACTTCACTTATTATGGCCTGAAAAGAACTACAACTTCCAAGAAGGTGACTCCAAGTCCCAAATTGAGGAAGGTAAAGACTTGATCTGTACAAAGCCTTCTTTACTTTCTGTACCCTGTTGTCAACATGCATGTATGTCTCTCATATAAATCAGGTGCAAGGGCTGTAATGGAAGAACATTGATTCTGGGTCAACTGATACAGCCCTTGCTAGTAACAGGTGACCTGTACATGTACAGAAAAGAACTGTCTAGTACTTAGTGACAGGGCTTGAAATAGTGCCATCTGGTCATCTGGGGCAAGTTACTTTTCATTCTCACTTGCCCAATGGGCAAGACCCAGGCAATGTCGTCTGCCAATTTAATCAAGAAAGTAAACAAAGACTTGCCCAGAGAAAGCACAATTTGAGAGCTGCTTGTTCAAAAGGCAAGCTGGAAATCAAGGTATGTTGAAGCCTTGTGTATGTTGTAGTTTAAAATGATTTCAGGTCAAAATGATTTCAAACTTGTTCAATTTGTATTTTTCTTTGTTTTAGGATTATGGTAATAAATGTGGAACAAAGGAAAATACAATTGAAACTGGTTTAAAATCATTTTGACCTGAAATTCATTTTAACCTGCCACATGTGTATGACACAACTTTATGATTTGAAAAAGAGCAGTAGAGATGTTATCCCTTCGGATCATGTTTACTAAAGGCATCCGTGGTCGAGTGTCACTCAATGCCCTCGATCAACATCTCGATTCACACCCAATCAGTATCTCGATCGACACTTGGTCAATACTAGACTGACACCTGATTGAAATCTTGATCAGTACTAAATCGGCACCCAGTCAACACTCTGTCGACCCTCAATGAAAACTTGGCCTAGTGCTGACCGAGTCATGTATCGATCAGCACTCGATGGTGTACACCTGTATCTGCAAAAATTAGTTGACTCTCGACCAACTGCCAACCAAGATGTCAATCAAGTGTTGACCGAGTATTGATTGAGATGTTGATTGAGTGGCGATCAAGATGTCCATCAAGATGTCAATCGAGTATCAATCAAGGGCATCGAACAACACTTGACTGGGGATGCCTTTAATGTACATGATCCATCCAGTCCAATGCCAAAAACTAAAACTCTTGGACCAGCAATAATTAAAAGACATAGTTCAGTTTCTGATTGGCTGATTTTAGTTATTGTCCTCTCATGTAATATCTTAACCTGAGTGTGTGTCACTGTGAACTTTACTGCAGGTCTTGATTCATCTTTCTCTCCAACATGGCACACGTTTAAATATTCTTTGTACAACCTGACACCTGCTGAAAGAGTTATCAAGACAAGAAAGGCATACATTGCTAGGATATCACCAGATGGACAAGTCTTGGTGTTAGCAATGAACCAGAAGCTTGCGGCACACAACAGAGTTATGTTTTACTCACTGTCACAGACAGCAGTAGCAGTGATTGCGGACTTGAAGGGTTGTGGAGCCAAACTGAATGTCAATGGACACGCTCCTGCTGGAAAGTTAGTTTACAATCTTAAACTGATTCTTGTTCTTTGTCAGATTATTTTGCACAGCACATGGGCATTGGGCCATCTGGGAAAATTGTGATTATTAGCAATCTGATAATCTTCAGGAAAGCATGCTGAATGAAAATTTCTTAACTAAAGATGGATTTTTTTTAAAGGATAGCAAGGTTGTGATCTAAGAAAACTTACAAACCCAATGGTTCCTCACCATGCAATCCTGGGTGACCAGCACATAAGCTTATATGAAAAAAGTAAGTTTTTCCAGTCACCCAAAGGCAAAAATTAGTCACCTGTGCCACCCAGGCGCTTCTAGCGCACAACCCCGGAAAGGTTGAAGTTAGGCCCACTTCCGCCATTGTCTCGAGTCCAGTCTTGCTCCTTTAGAAGGAGCTCTCACTCCTTTCCTGAACAATGGCTGGTAATCAAGCCTTCTATGTAGGCTGAAGTAATGAAAATGCTGGAAAGGTACCGTGTCTAAATGCAGCAGTCAGGCCAAAAGGCCCACATAGCTGAAGCTTGTTCTAGTTTCTGTGCCGTGAAATGACAAGGAATATTAAAGAGTACTGCTGAGTATTGACTCTTGAATGGAATGCTTTAGTACATAATAAGTTACCCACTGCTACTTTGTCCGGTTACCCTTAATACCACTACTTACTTACTTATTCCTCTTCATCCTCTGTGGGACATAAGGCAAGTACAATCCCATTCCATTTATTCCCATTTTGTGCGACATGTAGTGCATCACCTCCGAGGCCATCAAAGAGGAGGAGACTATACTGTTAGAAGAAATTGAAGCTCGGACACGAGCCAGCGCCGACGACAACATAGTGCCTCACCCCAATGAGTTTTACCTCACTGAGCTCAGCCATGACAGTTCGGCACCAGTTGGTTTGTGGCCGGCCAGGTTTCCTTTACAGATTGCCAGTAACCATTTATTAAACTGGTGGGTAGGAAAAGGCACTGTGAAAATAAACTGCCCTATTCAAATACTCTAGACAGTGATGCCTGAATCCAGACCACTTGATTTTGTGTCTAATGCACTAACTCCTAAGTCACTGCAGCTGCCAACATTGATGCCAAACTTAGGATTACATATAATATTATTATTAAATCTCTGACCCCTACATCCATTTCAATCTTCAGATCCTGGTGGATTTCCGACATGGCTTGGACCAGAGATAGTCTTCTGGTGTTGTGCATCACTCGGCGTGGCTCTGTGGCTATTTTAACCAAGCTTGGTGAACCGTTGGAGATTTGCACAGAAGGTTGTTCTTTACACACGGGTCCTGCACTGTTCCTGCCACTCCATCCCAAGATAACATTTCAGTGAGTACCAACACTCAGGACAAACCTGTCAAAAATGTACCAGTTCTGAGCAGTTTTTGGCCCTTTTTTAAACACAAGACACAAAATGTTTCTATTAAGAGGAACATTGGCAAAAAATTTAGGGAGCAATGGAATTTATTAATAGGAAACAAGGGAGAAAATTTTTAAGAGATCAAGGAAACATGCTACCCACAACCAACCTCCTGTGAGGCCCTTGCTGAAGCTTTGCATTATTTCGTGGTTTGCTTATTACATACAAGAAGCGTCTGTTTAACCACAATCTTGTGAGTAAAAAGGTTTATGTTTTTTTTCTTTGCAGGAGCTCCACAAATGCCTTCCATTCAGACTCATCAGAATCATGCGCATCAGAAAAGGACCCCCTCTCCCAGAGGTTCTCTGTGGCCGTGCATCCTCACCTGCCAGTCATTCTGAGCTCTGATGGTTACCTAGTAACAGTAATGCAGCTACCGCCTGTCGCCAGTTACCATGGTATCATGACAGGCTTCATGAGAGACATCACGAGGTGTGCAGTGCATTTTAAAAGTGATTTTATTTGACTCTGAGGATGACTTTCTCCCAGTTTGTGAGAACGTTAGCCACATACAACAGTCCTTTTCAGGGTTATCTTCACTTCAACAATCAAACCAGACATGCGAAACTAATAATATTCCTGAGGAAATTGTCAGTTTTAGCAAACTAGAGTGGTTTTCAACTGAGTGTCGAAAGTAATCAGGCAATTACTTTGGTTTTGGTTTTGGTTTTGGTTTTGGTTTTACTACAGGTCAAGATTGGTTGAGTAGTCTGATTTGTAAGTAACTGGTTTTGGTTTGGTTTTGCGACACTCGATTGAAAACCGCTCTATCCAGATGTAAAACTAATCACCACCTATATTCTGTGAGGTTGGGGGAGGGGGTGTAAATGTGCAGACTGGACCCCTCAGTGTTAACTTGTAATAGACTGGCATTTGGCACGACACAAAAATACCTCCAAAATTATTACTGTAATTATTTTTTCAGATTAGTCCCGGATGTGGATGTAGAGATTCAATCTGGGAACTTGTCTCGAGTGTCCTCTGTCAGCAGAATTAACATCATGCAGTCGGAAGCTAACGTGTCACGCGGCGTGACTTCCACAGAGTTCTTGTCAGACGCTCCAAGTGAAAACAACTCCACAGGGTCATCTGTTGTTCCAGGTCAGTAAATAGAAAGTTTTACATTAGAACCGAGTTAGAATTTTAATATATCAAAAATGGCCTATTGTTTATGTGTTTCTACGCTACGCGAGTGGCTTGAAAATCTCACGCCACTTTTTCATCCAATCAGAAGCAAAACCAAAACCAATCGTGACTCACTCGCATACATTTTCCCGCGCTTTGCGTCAGCCACACTTATTTAGTTCGAGTTTTGATTGGTTTATTGTGATTGGCCAGAGTGATTACTTTGGTTTTGGTTTTACGACACTCAGTTAAAAACCGCTTTATGTAGATTCTAGTACGACTAGCATTGAACCAAAGTCATTCTGGCGAAAGAAATGCGGTGCAGTTGTAGCTTTTGTCATTTTACTGAAAAGGTGGTATAACGCTGACGACAAGAATTCGAAACAAATTTTTGTAAGTTTAAGCTCAAACCTTTACGGCATAGCATCCTCGGTCAAGGTAACCACATCGATTATTTTGTTCACAAGGAGAAGAACGTTTTATGGATTCATCCTTCATCACCCTGCGAGCAGAGCCTCTTTTATCTCTTTTTGCTTTATCTTCTCGGTACAATGCATATGTACCGTAAGAAGGGGCTCTGCTTGCAGGGTGATCCTTCTTTAGACTTTGCTGAAAAGTTGCGGTTAAATTTGGTGTTCGCTTTTAAAATGTCTAATAACCGTAAACAGGTAATGTGTCATCCTTTTTAAAGGGCTTAAAGGGATTGTCTATGTCTTTACACAAGGCAACGTTTCATGTACTTGTATCACAACAAAATCATCTGGAGACAATTGGCACCACATTTTGCAGTGTTGTGCACTTCTGATGTACGACTCTTTGACAACGTCCTGATCTACCGCCAAATTCTTACAACCAAAATTGAAAGAAACATATGACAGTCAGTTGGGAGAGTTAACTTTTCATTTTCTGGTTTTTGTTTAGGTTACGGCCTGGCAAGTGGAGATCAAGGCATGAGTTTCTTTGGACTGAATGACCCGGAACTCGAGAGCTCCCTTCACGAGTACGAACCTGGGAGCCTGGACGCCATTTCTCACGCCCAGAACCTTTCCATCGTGGCTTTGGCTCTGGGAACCGCGTGTGGTGTGAACTGGAAACAAGACGTTGGTCCTGCTATGGACCTCACTGTAAACGTGGTGAAAAAATTCTTTCAGTTCCTTCTTGGAAGTGCTGAGGGCATTCCACAGTTACACAGTTCAGCGAGAGGTTTTTCCGTTGGCGATTTATCGACAAGGCGAAGTTCTAGTCCAGTTGTCGACTTGCAACTTTCCAGGGCTTTAGCATATTTTCGAATAGTTTTAGAAGTTTTCCAGTGGGACTCTACTCACAGAAACGCATTCGCCTGGGCGTTCCATCTCACGCATGGTATCGTAAGAGAAGTTCTGCTCCTAAGAGATACCAGCGCTGTCTACAAAATTGTCAGCTGTATACGAGTGCTAAAACTAGCAGAACGAGTCCTTGGTCTTGTCTACACGTCAAGCAGTGAAAAACTGTCACATCTACCCGGCCATGAACCTCCTTCACAACAGAGACAGGATCAACAAGAATCTACCACGAAAGAGAGAGAAGAGAATTTCGAAGGAGCTACTGTTGTCAATAGCCCTTCAGTTAAAGCTACTGGCTCCCTAGACAGTGACACGAATAGTTTAAATCTGCACGCACAACAGCTATCTTTGTGTCAAACGCATCTCGGTGGATCATGGCTTCTGTTGTATAATTTCACCTCAGAGTGTTGTAAGAAGATGCAAAGAAGACGAAGTTCTTTGTTCTCGGCTCAAGACGGAGAAAGTAAAGGAACAGTTGAGAAGAAAATGGTTGAATTACTTTGTGAAATTCAAGAGAAATTACAGATGCTTGGTGTGAAGATTCCAAGTAATACAGTTGTAAAACAGGAGAATGTCGAGGGTGAGCTCTAGATGTAAAGGGCATTTTCTTTTTCCAGAGGGCTGAAAATGAGTCTTTTCACATTTGTTTCTAGACTACGAGTTGTTCCTCTTTCGCTTTGTCTGTCGAGCGTGACCGCGGTTTTCTTTCACGTCTTCACGACGGGCAAAGCGAAAGAGGGACTACTCGTAGTCTAACTTTTTACGGGCCAAGGAATCCTCTTTTCTGCATGTTTTACAGACAGTATATGTTAGTTAGCCCAAGACCTATGTTTTATTTCATCCTGAATCGTCAGAGCAATGCACAGCACTTTGCTCTCACGAAGGGTTAACACTCGAAACGTCAGCTAGCTAGCAATGCAGGCGTATTTTGGCGAGCGAGCGCAATTTAATTGATCTTGGATTCAACCTCACAAGAAGCTTGGGGAAAGATGAAAAGACGTCATAGGGAGTAGGAGTGAGGCTAAAAGAGGAGTTTACCTAAGACAATTAGATGCCGCGAATCTACTCGATCGCGAGCTGAAACCGATAACTCTTGAGCATAAGGAAAACGCCTGCACTGCAGGCTAAACGTCAGCTACAAGTACTCTCTAAGTCGGTTAATTTACCATTATCAATTTCAAGTTGATAAATAGCTAAGTTTTTCACTTGCCTGCCCACGTAGCCCAACAGTTTTTTTAGAAACTAGTGCCTTTGTTCAATCTGTCTTTTTACTGTCTGCTGTTTCGTTTTTACAAGGTAGGGAAAACACGAAATTTCATGTAATTATCATAAGCATTAAGGAGAATTTTTATTTCTAATGCGCTGAGTCAAGCTAATGGTGCTTGAAGTAATTATTATATCAAACACGAAGAGCGTATTTGGCCGCATTTCCAATCACCAAGAAGAGAGTTGAAAATACGACGCGTGGCGAAGTATTTTTGACGAATTTCGACGAGGTGTTTGGAAATGAGATCAAGTACTGTCTTGAGTGTTTGATATATCTTCTCAATCGAAACTAAAACTAAGGAGAAAACGGAGAATTAAAATCTTAAAAATCTATGCTAATTAAGATCAGATATCCAAACACCGTCACAGTCATGATTTCCTTTGTTTAAACTTGATGAGTTTATACTAAGCTTGAAAAGCCCTGTTGAAAGTCTTTCTTTTTCTTCCTTTGGTTCCTGTCGTTATGTTATGCCTAAAAAATATTTAACCTTATTGCTTATTGATCTTGTAAAATTTTGTCTTTCCAGGCGTCAGCGCCTACTTGGAAGGCAGCTTTTACAACCTACCGCCTGACGGATCCCAAGACTCATTGTTCGCCAGAAGACGATCTAGTCTACAGGAGACTGGGGTCCAAGGGCAAATTCCCGTACCGTCGAGGAGATACGGGTCGCCATCTCGGGACAACATGGGAAGTCAACAATCCCAACATTCCCCAGGGGAGCTGTCTATTATGGGAAGCCCGAACAGTCATGTAACTGAACAGGACTCCAAAACCCTTTTGTCGATTCTTTATATGCAGCTTCAGCAGTACGACCTCAGATCTGCCTTGGATCTCGTTTACTCATTGATCGAGCCGGCGTTTTCGTGTGAACAATTTCAAAGCAATACCAACTTTTCACTACTTCCATATACCCAAGGTTCTTTTCAAGCGCATTGCCATCACACAAATTCAAATCATCGCATGGATATCTTGCTTCAGAACTACCCCATCGCTAGGGTCACGGATAACAGAGGTCTCAAAGTGGTGCAGACACTCGCCAGGTTCATGTCGGCGTATTTTTCAAACCTTTCCCTTTATGTGTACCCTCCATATCAACCTACTGCTCTTCCGCCATTTCACGAACAGGCTCAAAAGAACATTGGTGCCAGGCTCGAGGAGGGTCCTCAAGCAGTGGAACATATTGGACTCGATAGGGCCAAGGTGTCTCAAGCTGTCCGGGACCAGGGTCTTTATGAGCTCTGGAGTGCCAACAGCACGTTAGAGTTACTGCTTCTATCTGGGCTGGTCTCGGAAGGGGCGTGGTTAGCTAGGAACTTGGGGGATTGGAAAAACGCCATGTTGCTTTCTTTCGCAAGTGATGCGCTGAGCTCTAGATTTTCACAAACCGCTTCAGATCCACAGATTCAGCTGGCGTTCCCAGCACCACTAGAAGACATTAAACTTCAAGCAATAGCTATGTCAAGACTTAACCCTTCCTTCAAGCAAACCACCTCTTCAGGAGAAGAACAACCGGACAGTTCTGCTGAAGACAAGTCAGCTGCTCATTCCACAACTGCACGGAAGAGCCAAAGGTCCAAACAAAGTGCTGTGGACTTTGGGATTGAAGTGGATGACAAGATTGTGAAAGAAGTGTCCAAGATCCTGGAGGCTGGAGTAGTGGCTGGTCTTGACTTAGCGCCGTCGATTTTAACTGGTTTAGTAAGCCAGTTAAAGCAAGTGACGTCATTGTTCGAGTGGATAGTTCCAGAGGAATTCTACTTGCCTTACCCTCCGTCTTTCTGCCCACAACCAATGAATCTGAAGAAGGTAATTACTTTCGTTATTCCGTTAAGGTCCCAGGTTTCTGTTGAATGTTCAGGGGGGGGGGGG